AATAATTCTACATAATAAAAGTGGGGGAAAAGAGAGCTTTATATTACTGTGGTAGCCCCATAGACAACTATAAAATGTCTGTTTCCCCCCCATTTACAGTCTTCTTGACATAAAGAGTATTAACACATATCCTTTACTGAAGCTTATAAATTAACGTGCAAAGCAAATGCCTCTGGGATAGAATAGAGGTCAGATAAGGGACACACAGTCAGCAGCCAAAAAGTGAACACTCTGGTCTGGTGATGCTAAGTCAATTACTCCCTGAACTGCATTTCTCTGTTTCTCAACTTACCTGTGCCTCTATCAAATGATCAGATTAGATTAGCCATTATTATAGGGACTAATAGTTCTGAGGTTATAATCAGTATAACCCATATTGATTTATGTAAACAATATAAAAATATACTGTCACCTTCACTCTAATTCCTACTGTGTAGTTGAGCTACATAGGTCAAACCAGCAGAAACAATTAAAACAAAAGCCATCTGTAATTCTAACTACTACATGGGTAACTGGAGCAACAAAATGGGAATAAAGAATTATAACAACTTTTGGGAATTTATTATAATGGACATTTAGTTTGAATATAATCAGATAATGTAAGTGAATATTGAACATTTCTATTTAGCAAGTAGAAATAGTTACTAAGCATCTACTATATGCAAGCGGGGTAGGTATAGCTCAGTGGTAGAGCACATGCTTAGCATGCACGAGGTCCTGGGTTCAATCCCCAGGACCTCCATTAAAAAAAAAAATACTATATACAAGATACTGAGTTCCTAAAAACTAAATTCCAGTGAGTTTTATAAAATATGTATTTTTTTCTGCTAAAAGACAACTCAATGATAACTTTCCCACATTAACAGTTTCAAAAATCTACCAGTCTGTGTTTCACCAGAACCAATCACACGGAAGCCAAATCAGTTAGCTAGGCACATAGTACATAGTACTTATTTGGCACTGTAGCACATGCTTCACAGGAAAGAACACATCACACCATAAATCAGCAAATCATTCTGCACCGTGAACAGATCTGCTTCTGAAAATCGCTTGGATAAACAAAGGAGAGACAACATGGTAGAGAGCAAGGAGGAGACACAGGTTGTAGCCAGGAGTCTATCACCCGCTACCTGTGTGAGCTTCATTGCGTCACTTAACACCGTCATCTCATAATTTGTTCATGTAACATGAGTTTCAAAATATATGGTCTCTCAAAAAGGCAGTTCACCTCGAGAGTTCTGTGGTTCTAAATAAAATCATCAGCCAGTAGCAAAAACTGAGTTAATACCTCATTTGTGTAATCGTGTCACGCAGGCCTTTACCGCTTTCTTTCTGGTTTTGTTATGTGTTACAATGCTGAGGCTACCCGATGTGATACCTCAAGATGTCAAGCAGTACTGAATTTAAGATCTGACAAAAACAATTAGGTGGCTGAGGGTTTTTTTCCTTTCTTTCTTTTTAATAAGCTCTAGACTGTAATTTTTTAAAGCTAAAATCCTAGGTATCAAAATCCTGTGAATAAAGGTAATTTAAACATTTTTAGAGTTTATAATTATTAAACTATATTAGTAATTTTGCACATTCTATTAAGAACTTCAGAAAAACACTTTTATCCAAAATGTAGTCAATATACTACAAATTTTTAATAAATAACACAAATCAGAAACAACTCCGCAGGAAAAATAACTTTAATTACTTACTTCCTTCTAACGGCCTTCTGTAATTCACATTAGTATTGCCTGGTAATTTAGGAACAAATCTATAAACGTGAGTTTTACTAATCCAACTCCAACCACCATATCCTGTTACTCTGTATTCCTCTCCTTTTTGTTTCCAAACCTGGTATAAATGAAAACATGCTGATTAAGTAAGAATGAGAATGTTTTATAAAGCACATGTGGTTTTATACATTTTTACCAAATAAAATCAACAATCAGGCAAATTAATTAAATCTAGCAATCAACTTTATTTTCAACAAGAATCAAAGATTTATGAAAAACCTTAATATGCCTTTCTAATACAAAAAACGTAAAACAATTTTACATTTCATAACAACTTCAACAATCTGGTCTAATGATCCACTTACATTCTACTAAGATAAAGCTATGCTTATAAAATTGCCAGAAAGATTTACTTAATTCCAACTATATTAATTAAAAGACTGACAAAAGTAACACAAAATTGTTAAGTGTTCAAAGTTGCAGATTCAAGGTTTCAGAAATGTACCACTCAGCCATAAAACATAAAATAATGTCACGTGCAGCAATATGGATGGACCTGGAGACTGTCATTCTAAGTGAAGTTGAGTCAGAAAGAATAAGAAAAATACCATATATATTCACTTGTATGTGGAATCTAAAAAAAAAACACATGAACTTATTTACAAAACAGGAACAGACTCACAGACACAGAAAACAAAACTTATGGTAACCAGTGGGTGAAGGAATAAATTGGGAGTTCGAGATTTGCGCATACTAACCACTATGTATAAAATAGACAAACAACAAAGTCCTACTGTATAGCACAGGGAAATATATTCAATATTCTGTAGTAACCTATAATGAAAAAGAATATGATTCTAAGTGAAGCAAGCCAGAAAGAGAAAGAAAAATACCATATGAGATCACTCATATGTGGAATTAAAAAAAAAAAAAGAACATAAATACAAAACAGAAACAGACTCACAGACATAGAATACAAACTTGTGGTTGCTAAGGGGGTGGGGGGTG